CTTCTTTATAATTTTTAGGTTTATTATGTGTATATATGCATGTATATATGTACAAATGAATATATATACAATAGGGTCGGGTTCGTATGGGTTATTAAAAGGCAAATATTAACTCATTCTGTGCCAATTAGATAACTTTTGAAAATTCAATATAACTCAACTCGATTGAGTTTAGTCTTGATTTAAATCCTCAATAGTTTCCAATAAGATAGATAATTTTGATGAGTTACATAATTTTTTGTCATTTCCACATTTATTTGCTTGTATTTGCAACCTCAACTAGCATGATAAATTATTAAGTTATTTGAACGGAATTAATAATAATTAAATGCAAAAAAGCTTCTCGAGTCATCATCAACATCATAACTATTGACTACAAGCACTATTATCTCCTATCCCAACGCATACTCCAACATGCAACTCATTCCATAAATGTATCAGGTACTAGATACTTTCAAAAGTTTTTTTTTTTTAATTTCCAGTAAAAGATTGTATTGAATAAAACTTATTGTTCCACATATCTTTTGTTGATTTAATTATAGGTGTGTTTTTTAGAAGTTATCGAAGGATTACAAATATAAAATCAATAGAATAGCATCTCAACTTCTACTGATTTTATATTTATTATGATCTTAATAAAAACTTAAAGTACATCAATTTAATTAATATTTTAAAAAATCGTAGTTTATTCTGTAAAATAAGTAATAATCTCTATGTTTCTTCCTCTATTTGTGTCCTTGAGTAGTCTTGATATTATAGTTTTTAATTAATATTTCTTCAAATTTTAGTTTTTTAGGTAAAAAAATTAATGAGATATACATGTGAAATATTTTAAAAATTATATCATTTATATAATCAAACTAATGCTATATATTACTTGATTAGCAATTAAACTACAAGTATTGAAATTGGTCAAAATAAACAACATATATTAAATTCAAAATATCTCATATAAAAAAATATTGAACTATAACTTACATTGTAATAGATTATAGTATTAGGCATGCTTAGAAATTGATGATATAAAAGAGTTTTTGTGAACAAATTTTTATTATCATATGCTGTAACGACCCCAAAAATTTAAAAGGAAATGTATATAAAAAATCTGAGTGCGGAAGCGAAATAAAAGGTTCTGATTAATATCCTTTATACAATAACTTAAACGTACTAACAATATCAAAAAATAAGTCCTCTAAAGGAAAATACTAGAAATGAAAGACTATAAAGAAAACTATAAGACATCTAGGCATCTACCCGCCGTCTTCTTGTGGATCGGGTTCGGGAACCAAGTCCTCTTGATCTGAAATGGTTAACTAAGGAATGAGCTACACTAGCCCAGTAAAGACGTCACACTATATCACTGTCACAGAAGTAAAGGTTGGTAGAAAACCAAAAACAACCAATGGAGCACAATTTTAAACGAATTCATTTATCAATGATCGAACCATTTACCGTCCACTTACCTCAGTGAAATTTATAAAAACGACCTATGAAAACAATAACATTATAAAAATCATGAATTCATACATAATTTGTAATATAGCACATGTCATACTTTTATATTTCAATCATCAAACAACAGTTGTTCCCTTTTCATCAACCTACTAGTATCAATGGGGATCTATAGGGGTCCCCGCTACACGTGAACCATTCCCTTAACGAACTTAATTTCCAGGGCCGTCCCCATACCCCGTCCGGTATGGGCGCCAAAGAATAAACCTCAATACCCCGTCCGGTATGAGGGTGAAGCGGGCCGTCCCCATACCCTGTCCGGTATGAGACAACGTTTCCGGTAGGGTTTCCTATGGACCCAGTCCGTCCACCATCTCTCAGGATATCTAGTGAGACTGTAATCTTATCTATTTATCAATTCACACCCCTTTCCTATTTTTTCCTTAGTCTCCGTTACCCATTCAAACATGAATACTTAAACAAGCAACGAGCATCCAACAAGGCAAGCATATCTTAGATTCACAAAATCAAGCAGTAGTGAAGTAAACAGTGATTCATGCATTCAAAACCATAGAATAAATAAACCAGATACCATAATGCATTTAAACTATAAAATAAATCAAACAGGAACTAACAGAGAAATATGTCTGATTCGGCCTCCATTAGCAACCGTAATTATGCATATCTACTCAATTTGTGCAAAAAATAGTTTTATCATTTGTTCAAACTTTAATCCCGTGATAGGAAATAGGGTGAGGGGTCCTTACCTGATTCGACGTCGAAAACCATATTTTCACTGCACCTACGGGCATTCTCTGGATTCCATGAATTTTTTTTAGGAATTGAAACGCGCTTACGACACCTACACATGCCCCGAATAACTCAAAAATTAGACCCAGGGTCTACTCGGCAAGTTTCAGAATTCTGACACTGCGGCTTCGCCGTGCTCCGGCAACGGCGAGCGGCGGCGATCCGCCTCAGGTTAGCCGTTTCTGGTCGTTTTCGGCCAAATTCAGCCAAAATTGCATTGGTTCCTA